TACATCGACTGAGATGGTTAGGACATGTGTTACGAATGAATGCCTAGTCATCGCCTTCCTCGACAACAGGCAATGTTCGTTGATATAGGGTCAGGTTGGAAAAGAGCTAGCACGTGTTCAAACCAAAACATGGCTTCACCAGTCAGTGAAATCCACAACAGTTAGTTTAAGCCAGTCTGTCTGTCTGTCTCTGTCTGGATTCAACATAGAACTTGGCACCGAAGTGCAGCAGTTCGAGTTGCCACGTTCCAAATAGCACACAGAGGTAGACAAGAAGATGAGTGAAGAGAATCAATACAGTCTGACAAGTATAAGAGTGAAACAGAATAGGTAATGGTAGAAAGGAATATGAAAGATTACAGAGACTGAATAGATCTGCGCTGGCCATTGACAACGATTTTGAGCCATGTCACCTATTGTCTCCAGCCATTGATTCCTAGAGTCCCGAGGGCCCCAACCCGGGAGTCTTCATCTCCCTACCTGACTCAGTTTAACTGTCAAGGATTTCATGGATTGATGCCATGTTTTTGTTTGGCCACCACTGGCTCTTTTCCAACCTGAACCTATATCAGCTAGCAATGCCCGTCGGGGGAGGCGGTGGTTAGGCATGCGCAGCACGTGACCTAGCCATCTTAGTCTATGTAACTTTATAGCCTCGTCGATTGATTTTCCCTCTTTGCCCAACACTCTACGCCTAACATCAACATTACTTATCTTGTGAAACCACCTAACGTGAGACAGAGATCGCAGACATCTATGATCGAAAGCAGTCAACCTTTTCATGTCTTCAACGCGTATTGGCCATGTTTCAGAGCCATAGAGAAGGACGGAGCGAACTGCTGAGCAGTACACACGTCCCTTGGTTGATAACCGGATGTCACGCCTACGCCAGAGATGGTGTAAGTCAGCGAAAGCATTTAATCCAGTCACGTAGGAAGGTGTTGACTTCCAGGTTGGGGTCCTCGGGACGGTAAAAATCAATGGTTGGAAACAATTGGTGACATGGCTCAAAGAGATCGTTCTCAATAGCTGGCGCAGATGCATCCACTCCTTGTGACTTTTGATTTCCAATGAAACTGTCTTGTTCTTCGTTATTACTCTTCCTTTGTCTCACACCTCCGCTTACTGTCTCTATTATGCTTTTCTTGTACTTTCTTCTCTTGCTTTGTGTGCTACATGGAGTGTGGCGACTTGAACTGCCGCACATTTGTGCAAAGTTCTATGTCGAAAACAGACAGACAGACAGAATTATTAAAGCAAAAGCAAACTAAAAGTAAAATTAAAAATTAAAAAACAAAAGAAAATATCAAAAATTTTTACAGGGCACGATTAGCGAAGAGGTTAAAACCAAGGTAGAATAAGAGACTGGACAAACTTTTTCTGTATACAGAGTTCAGGGTTGTATTGACGAATTGCCAGCGCTTCGGCCATACACAAAAGCCGAAACCTGACGCCCTTTGTACCATTTGACTTCACTTTGTAGATGATCGTGAAAGATGACTCTGGTGGAGCTACGTGGCCTGAGTTCACCAAATGCTCGAGAATTGAGCTAGTAATTGTCTTACATTGTGCCTTTGCTAACCATGTTGGATAATGTTCAGAGATACGTTTGGAAAGCGTGTGCTTGTGGAGCTAGTTATTTTGGCCGCCCGCACAAAGCGGCGGGCATCCAGTCACTCGACAGGGTAGGACGGAACAAAAATGCTGGAAAGTAATATACTTTGGTATAGGAAGAAAAATTTATCCCCGAGTTTCTGTCTGCAATCTGTGTTAGAACCTTAATCTTGGTTGTATGGGAAAATTATGATGGAAAAGGTGGTTATATAAAGTATTCTAGAAAGTCGTGTAAATACATTGATACGATAGTGAGCAATGCATTGTGATGGAAATATCATCCACTTATTAATACTCTTTCAGTGTGTTGTGTTTGATTTAATAACACTCTGTCTCTTTTGGGTGGATTTTCTATATCTGTAGCTGCATTGTTGGGAGCCTTCGCCAGCATGCCTTAAGGAAGTGGACCTATGCTGGAAGGTAATAATTGCAGGTTCCATACCAGAGTAGCAGTTAGTGGTATGTGGTTTTGCTTCATGTTCTTCGGATCCCTGTTCGGCTAACAAAGGTTTTCCCAATAGGAAAATATCTTGAATTTTAACGCAACGGTCATAACTCATATTCTACTTGTGATCAATGAACTGAATAGATGTTTTTGTTCACTGTTTCTATTTTCCCCCGTTATGCTGTTAGTCTTATTTTTCTTTACTTTTAGAAGCACTCAGAGCCATGAACTTGTGGGATTTAGTCGTGATTTTTTCGATGAACGCTGGTCACGAAAACGTTGTGTGACGGCTTTGGAGTGGTCACGTGTTTTTCCTGAATTGCTTCTTGCAGCATATAGTTCGAATGAAGAAGCACAACACGATGTCAATGGGGTGTGTTTAATATGGAATATAAAATTTCCGAAGACCACTCCAGAGTATATTTTTTATTGTCAGTCAACTGTTACATCAGCAACTTTGGGAATTTATCATCCCAACTTGGTTATTGGTGGAACATATTCTGGACAGATTGTTTTGTGGGATAATAGGTGAGTATTCTACTGATGTTTACTTTACATTAATAGGAGGTTTTCTCTTGTTCCTATTATGTTATCACGTTGACGAAGAAGATGCTCTTACTGATGCTTATTTTTTACAGTTGCACATATGGTTTTAACAAAGCAAGGACATTAAGAGTTCAAGATTGATAAATTTCCCACAGAATCCACTAAATAGCCTCTGATAGGTAGCAGAGAATACTGCATACAAACAGGTAGACAAATGTCAAATGAACCTTTGGTTTTCGTGATGAAATTACGCAAAAAATTAGTTTATTGGATCTGATGCAAATTCCTGAATGAGTGAAATGGTCAGCATACTAAATCACTTGGTGCCCTATCCTTAAACTAAAGTTGATTCAGAATACTCTTGTAGCACTATCTTACTTTTGATGATGATGAAGCGTATACTCTACATTTTCGAGTTTTCGCCTTGGGAGTTCTGAAGACTTCATTTATTGGCGCCTTTATCAAAATGATTCAATTTTATGGGATATTTTTGTAGTAAAATTTTGATTTCTGGTATATCTAAGCTAAAACTTGTCACCTTCATCTCAACTAAAATACCTGTAATAAACTCATCAATGGCTAGCACACTGAATATCCATACGGAATGTTGGTTTGTCATTACTTCACATGACACTTCTTACTAAACTCTTATATGATTGCATGAATTCAGGTAGACTGCATACTTCCTGGTCACTCTTCTTCACAGTCACACACTAGTATACGGCTTTTCAATAGACGAATTTGAATGCCACCTTCAAGTCGAGAAATACACCAATTTGATGTAAATATCGCATTCGCCATACTAGATAATGTTTTAACTAACCTAGTCCATTATTTATAACCATCATCTATAGGATTCTCTAATTCCAAGTCATCAAATCTTGCTACTCCACCGCTTCATAGATTGGAGATGGTCAAATAAGTGTGAAATACCGTATGAATGTCGTGTATCATGCAATAGTGTGTTCATTTTTATTTTATTACAAATCTTATCGGAAACTGTATTCTGTGAAGGTAGTGTTTATTACATTGAAGGTATCTTCACTATCATTTTTTCTTGGTAATAACAAACGTACGATCTACATAGCAGACTCAGTAATATTTTTCATAGGTTTTTGAGATCAGATGACAGTTTTAAAATCTAATGTAACAGAGTGGAGGTAGAGATTGATAACGAAAGCTTTATTCATCGAGTCAACTGCAGACAAGTATAATAGGAATGATTCAATACCTGTCCACCCGGACTTCTGGAAAATTCTACTACTCCGTCTAATCGGTTCAACTAATAATAATAATAAATAATATAATTTACAAAATACCATGCAATGACTGTGAGGTCAACTACATAGGTCAAACTAGTAGGTCAGGGGTAGTCAGATTGTCGGAACATAAGAATTTAGCTAAGGTAAGAATGGTTGACCCCAAGGAGATAAGTAATTTAGAAAAAAGCTCAGCAATTGCAATGCATGCATTAACACACAACCACACAATAGGGTGGGAGAGGGTTAAAATTCTAAAAAGTAATCTAGATAGGTGGAGAGAGAGAGGTTGATTACTGAATCCTTGTTCATCGAGTCTACACCAAACACATGCAATAGGAATGAGTCACCACTCATACCTGAAATATGGAAAATACTACTGCCAATCAAATCAAGTGAAAAATAGTGGAACTATATAAATGAAGTTAGGAAGTCGTGTGAATACCTTGATATGATTACGAGCAATAAATTGTGCTCGAAACGTCATCAGTAAACATTACTGTACAACACTGTGAGACTTTATCAAAACAAAAATTTACCCATAATGGAATGTATGATATACCTTTTTATTCACACAAACAAATTTTTGTTGTCGTAATTTATTGATGATTGGCCAGTCCTACACTCACTTGAAAAGCACAAGAACACAAACACTGAGGCGGAATTACTCGGATCCATTTTATTTCATAGGTGCTATGTACAAGTTATGACACTCAGTTAAACCAGTTATGACACAATTTTCAAATACTTTAGTTCAGTAGTAGAAGTCAGTCTTCCAGTAATACAATAATATGATGACGTCATAGTGAAGTAAAATGGCAAGGATGTAAAGTTTTTAAAATTCTTTTTAAAACGAAAGTTCTAGCATCCAAAGCTTCAGACACCAAAGTATTATTCTCCAGGCTGGATAGATCACAAGAGCCACCTCTTATACCATGGGTCACAATGGGAACAAAATCTCTGATTTAAATGCCGATAAATCTGCCCGATTGGGGTCCCAAGTAGGATGAAACCCGAGTGGTACCTATCACTGCTAGCCACCGTCAAACCACATTACATCAAGTTAACCTGAATATATCGTGCTAGAAGTCGATTTGCTAACAGATAATGTCAGAAGTTTCAACAAGGAAGTGTCACTGTGTTACGAAGGTGATTGAGTCTTAGAACGATGAGTGATGCTTGAATCTTGAAAAGACGAATGAACCAAGAATTTAGGCTTTATTCATTTTACAATGAAGCCGGAATGGCTTAAACATATAAAGGAAAAAAAGAGTGTTAATAGCGGTAGAGATATGAATATGACTAGATACGTATTATAAGAAAAGTTCACAACATTCACTGCGGCTTGAAAAGGAATGAGCCATTATGTCACGCTTCTCTGGTACGCAAATTGTAAGGCCGTACACGTTGTTGTTTTTCCAAAAGAATACGCCCGTTGTTCGTTTCAGTTGTATTTTCTTCACGAAGAATATTAGGATCAGTGGTCGCATCCCCATTTACTTGTTGCTCAGGAATTGCGTCGCCCTCCGGTATTGAATTTTCAACTTGATCTATATCTTCGCCTTTGGGTGCCAGATGATGAAGAGCAACTGTATCTTCACGTCCATTACCGAAGCGAACGTGAGCGAATTGCGGGTTACAATTCAATAGCTCCACCTCTTCAACCAGGGGATCGAATTTGGACTGACGAACACTCCGCCGGAGAAGTACTGGTCCTGGCACAGTGAGCCAAGTAGGAAGAGTTGTCCCAGATGTCGATCTTCGGTTATAGGTAAACAGTCGTTCGTGTGGCGTGGCGTTCGTTGCAGTACAGAGCAAAGATCTGATGGAATGCAAGGCGTCGAGTAGAACAGACTCCCATTGTGCCGTTGGTAGGCCCCGTGATCTTAATGCTAGAGTGATGGCACGCCAAAGTGTTCCATTGAGGCGCTCGACCTGCCCATTGGCTTGAGGATTGTATGAGGTAGTACGACTGGTTGCTACGCCTTTCTCCAGAAGAAATGCCCGTAATTCGGTAGACATGAAAGCAGCGCCTCTGTCGGTATGTATGTAAGAAGGCATACCGAAAATCGAAAACAGTTGGCAAAGGCAATTCATTACCGTTTGAGACGACATGTCGGGGCAGGCGAATGCAAAGGGGAATCGAGAATATTCATCGATCAGCGTGAGCAGATAGTGATTGCGGCTAGCTGACGGTAGAGGTCCTTTAAAGTCGATGCTTAACCTTTCAAAAGGTTGGGTTGCTTTTATGAGTTTGAAATTAGAGGGATTGTAAAATTGAGGCTTTAACTCACAGCATGTCACGCATTTACTGGTTACATTGCGCACCTCGTCAAGGGAGAATGGAAGGTTTCTCGAGCGTACAAAATGCATCATTCGGACAACTCCAGGATGGCACATAGAGTCATGGAGAAATTTCAAGTCGCACACTGACTGCAAGGAACCGCAGAAACTACGGGAAAATGTATCAGCAGCTTGATTATCCCTTCCAGGACGATAAATGATGTCATATTGATAAGGGGATAGCTCAATTCTCCAACGCATTATTTTATCGTTCTTGATTTTGCCTTTATGAATCTTGTCAAACATGAATGCTACTGAACGTTGATCAGTGACAAGTTTGAAGTGATTTCCGAGAAGGTAATGCTTCCACTTACGAATTGCTTCAACCACGGCATAGGCTTCTTTCTCAACCGATGAATGATGTTTCTCACTTCGAGAGAGGCTTCGAGAAAAGAAGGCGACAGGTTTACCATTCTGGTTTAATGTAGCTGCAATTGAGACATCTGAAGCATCTGTTTCAACAACAAGGGGTGCTTTCGGATCAACTACCACAACGACTGCACGTTCTAAGTCGTCTTTCAGTTTGTCAAAAGCATTTCGAGTTTCGATATCAAGAGGGAAAATCCGATTATTTACCAATGGGTGGATTTTATCTGAGAAGCGAGGGATCCACTGTGAATAATAAGCAAATAATCCAACGGCCCGTTGTTGAGATTTGATATCTGTGGGTGGTTCTAGATCACGAAGAGGTTTTAGCCGATCGGGATCTGGTTTGATAACCCCCTTTGAAACTTCATAACCGAGTAATTGTATGCTTCTGCTTGAGATCACACTTTTGGAATCATTAAGGGTTATTCCATAATTGCGTGCTGCTACCATAAACTTGTTTAGATTTTTGTCGTGTTCCTCCTGAGTTTTGCCGCAGATAGTGACATTGTCAATGTAGGCAAACGTGCTTGTGAGTTGTTCTTTACTGATCAATTCATCGATAATGCGTTGAAAACAAGCTACGCCATTGGTAACACCAAAAGGAATTCGGCAAAATTGGTAAAGTTTCCCACAAGCCTCGAAAGCAGTATATGGTTTATCTTCGTTCCTTAGGGCAATTTGATGATAAGCATTCTTCAGATCAAGAGTGCTGAATATGTCATATTGTGCGATTTTTTCTATCATTTCGTCAATCCTAGGTAATGGGTAAGCATCCAGAAAAGTGAATCGATTGATTGTCTGACTATAATCAACTACCATCCTCTTTTTATGGCGTTCGTTTGACGTAACAAGAACTTGAGCTCGCCAAGGAGAATTAGAAGGTTCAATAACACCTTCTTGCAGTAACCGGTTGACTTCGGTGGAAATAAAACTTTCATCTTCACGAGAATAACGCCGGGATTTTATCGCGATCGGTTTACAGTCTTTTGAAAGATTTTCAAACAGGGTAGGCAGGTCGACGCGAACACAAGGTAGACCACAGAGAGAAAAAGGCGGCTTTGATCCCCCAAAAGGAATCTCAATGTGTTTGTGAAGTTTTAAAAAATCATGTCCAAGAAGGACGTCTGCACATAAATTATGAAGAATGGAAAATTTGAATAGATCATAAGTGTGGTTTTTATAGCAGATGGATAGAAAACAATGTCCTTCAGTATGACTAGTAAGATTCGTACTCGCCATTGTGATTCTGTTTCGAGACTTATGGACTTTCCAGTTATACTTACGAACAACTGAGGAAGAGATGTAGCTCTCACTGCTTCCGGTATCCACTAGAGCTTGCATTGATTTCCCATTGACAGTAAGCTGCGTAACAGCATCAGTGAGACTTTGAGGTGCTGAAGCCACAACGAGAGATGAAATTATAGAGTTAACTGAAGATGGACCTTTTTTCGTAGATGGCGCAGACCTGCAAACCTTCTGAAAATGTCCTTGCTTGCCACAAGCTTTGCAAACTGCATCACGGGCGGGGCATTTGGAACGAGGATGTCTACGATTACCACAGAAAAAGCATTTGGATTCAACGGCAGCAATGGTTGTTTCATTGACGGAGGGTGTGGAATCTGATGAATGAGGTACATCATGTAAAGAAATGGACGCGCAAGGTGTAACAGGATTGTTGTATGACTGCGATTGTTGATGTGCCATCTCTAGAGCTCGTGCTTGATCGTATGCCGCTTGAAAAGTTAAAGTACGCTGTTCTAATAGCCTCTGGCGTATCATCGAAGACTGTATACCTGAGATGAATGAATCACGTAGAGATTCGTTACGATGTTCTTCGGCTGTAACTGCCCTGAATGAACAATCTGTAGTCAGCGACTTGAGTCGACGAACAAACTGATCCAGATTTTCGCCAGATTCTTGTTTACACGTTGCTAACAAGTGTCGAGCAAACACTTCGTTGCAAGGCTGCATGTAGAGACTCTTGAGAGTGTCGATAGCTTCTTCGTATGTTTTGCATTCAGAAATGCATTCGTATACAGAAGTAGAAATATGATTGAAGAGAATATGTAGTTTCGAAGGATTTTCGGATCCCATTGATTCAATGAAGTAGGAGAAAGTCGCAAACCAGTGATCCCACTTCTTGGCAGCTCCAACTGCGTTAGGTTCTACGTCGAACCGATCAGGTCGGAAAAATCGTTCCATGAATATTGTAAAATGAATAAATTGTTACGAAGGTGATTGAGTCTTAGAACGATGAGTGATGCTTGAATCTTGAAAAGACGAATGAACCAAGAATTTAGGCTTTATTCATTTTACAATGAAGCCGGAATGGCTTAAACATATAAAGGAAAAAAAGAGTGTTAATAGCGGTAGAGATATGAATATGACTAGATACGTATTATAAGAAAAGTTCACAACACACTGAACGTGTTAAGATTTAAGCTATTTATTGTCTTCACATGTGTGTTTGGTTTCATTTATGTAGTTAGTATCCATGGTAATTTCCCATTAGGATGTGTAGAAAAGGAAAGAAAAGTGATTCAGCAAAGATACTTTTTTTCAACGGATTTATTATCAAGCCGTAAAATCGTGTATATATGGCATTTTTGAAATAATACGATTTGCAACAAACATTGTTAAACACCAAGTCACAGAATAGTTTATATAATTTATAATATAGTTCTTGGAATGTGTGAGTTCTAGAGACGAGTGTGGAATTAACAAGACTAGTAGGTTACGCAAGGATTTTGATGACAGCGTAAAAAATCATACTGGATTGAATAAATACGGATAACAAGAAAGAAAAGACTGAATAGGCAAAACGAAAAAAATAAATAAATAGGGCCGATGAAAACAACAGTAATTTAACAGCATAGACTGATTAAGACTATGAAAGCAGTGTGGGGTTGAACAAGCGTTTTCTGTATGCACAGTTCTAGTGGTTCTGTTTCGATTGCCAAAGCCTGAGTGATACAAGTAAGTCGAATGCTCAATTATTTGAGCAAGTTATTTTTTGCTTTACAAATGACTTCAAGACAAAAGGTTGTACAGATAAGATGATCAGTGCTGACTAGATTTTCATTTACTACACTTTGTATAAGGTCCACTTCCACATGTTAACTGCGCAGACCATTGTTTTCATAGTTTTCAATTGTTGTTTGTATAAGCTTATCTAACACTCGTAGTCTTTTTGATTAAATATATGTGAAGTGTATCACTAATGAGTGTCTCACGCGTACAACACAATCGCGTATAGGTCGTAACACTGAGTCGTGGTCTGCACCGTGTATGTTATAGCTACTGATACTATCTGTCTGCATAAACTCTAGTATTTGATTCGAGTTGTGAAATGTCATTACTGTAAATCAGTTTGATTTTTTAATAAGTAGCTTTGGTTGAGTTGGTTTGCAGTCATGTGAATTCGCGTTTTCAGGATAAACTTTTGTGAAGAATGGTAAGATTTTTGAAATTCATAGTATTCAACTATAGTTTTTTTTGAAGTCACAAGCGGAAATCGATATGAAAAACGCGCGGATTACAGAAGACAACTGTCTTCTGTAATTTCACGCTCTTCAGTGGTGCGCCTCTGCCACGCAATCAGAGATTGAATACAAGACCAAGACGACCCCATTTTGACTTTTCACTTATCTGCTTGAAATCTGATAACCGCTAAATTCAAACTCCTATCTGTTGGCAATATAGCCAACGATCATCCAATTTGTAACTATCTGACTGCGTGTAGTTCCTTGATCAACAGTTTTTAATTTTTTTGAATAGATACTTTGTGATTGTGTGATCTTGTATTATTTCTAAATATATAAACTTTGCCCGACCGAAAGCTGCTACCTTGACGTGGTGGTCGGGCTTGAACACCGCAATGACCTAATCAAGCTATACTGGCTGAGACTTATGTCTCTTGAGGTTCTACCATGCCAGGCAGGTTGTTTGGATAGCGGTTAAACAAAAAGCAGCTACCTCATCCAATACCATGATCCAAACAAATTCACAAAATTTCATGCCGGATCGGCCGTGGCCCGGATTAACAACGACCGCGCTTCCTGCTGCCGTGTCACAGGGCGGGAGTGATAAGTATGCTACTGAGGCACACAAAACAAAAAAGAACGAACAAAAACAGGCCGCGTGTGACCGGCCTCAAGCAGTTGTCCCCTGGGCTCTGCGGTCACGCAACCAACTTCCACGGTGTGGGCAGCCGGGAAGTAACAATCGCCCTCACAATCCAAAACGCACACAAAACCTCTCTAATCCTCACTTATCTTTGTCTTCATCTTCATCTCTATTACCTTGCCTTCCTCCACTGATGCAACTCCTCTACTTGATGGCTCCTCACTCCCTCTTCACTCTGTGTCCACTAAAAACGACGAAAGCCAAAAAACCACCACGGATAGTCTCCTAAAGCCACGCCACCAATTTCATATAGGAGCATTTAATGTTAGGACACTTTGCCAAATAGGACAACAAGCATCACTAGCTAAGACCCTGGCATCTCGAGCCATTGATGTATGTTGTGTTTCAGAAACACGCATACAAGACCCAAGTGTGGTTATTCACCTAACCCCACCTGGCCAACAGGATGAATCTTCAAAATTCACCTTGAGGGTGTCAGGAGATGCCACAGCTAGTTCACGAGGATTAGCTGGCGTAGGGATAGCTTGAGTACTAGGGCAGAAAAGACATTGCTTGACTGGATCCCAGTAGATAGCCGAATGTGTGCTGTCCGTCTGAACGGATCAGTAAGAAGGAGAAAGGACTGCACTACTCGCCGATGCCTTTTCGTAATCTCCGCCTACGCCCCCACTGACTGCAGTTCGGATGAAACGAAGGATGAGTTCTACCAAAAGCTGTCTAGTTTGGTGAGAAAGGCTAAACGCTCAGATATAGTCGTTCTAGCTGGTGACTTCAACGCTCAAGTAGGGAAATTGTGTCAATCTGAGAAGGATGTCGGTGGCACCTATGGAGTTCCGTGCCAGCGAACCGACAACGGTGACCGTCTCCTACAGTTCTGTTCAGATAATCATTTGTTTCTTGTAAGCACTAACTTTAAACACAAGGAGAGACACTGTTTAACCTGGCGACCCCCATCATCAAACCAACGCTGGACACAAATAGACCACATAGCAATAAGCTATCGTTGGCGTGGGTCGGTAGGAGATTGTCGCTCCTTCTGGAACACGTGTGTAGATACCGATCACGCACTGGTCCGGGCTCGTGTGTGCTTACGACTGAACGGACGTAGGAAACAGCTGGCGGTAAAACCATCACGTCCCCAGCTCGATCAGGAAACTAAATCCCTATTTGAGGAAGAACTAGCTAAACGCATATCTGAATTCGACAGCTGTGCTCACCCTGGAGAAGCCTGGAAGAATATTCAGTCAGCTATAGATACAGCTGTAAAAGCTGTGAATAAGGCAAATCCAAAGGTGAGTAAAAACCACTGGATTTCGACTGCCTCATCCGAACTGATAGATGCTAGAAGACTTATTCCGGCGAGCTCCGAATTCAATGAGGAGCGAAAGCTGCACAAAAGGAAACTTACTAAAAGTCTCCGCAAGGACCGTGAACAGTGGTGGGTGACAAAGGCGAAAGAGATGGAAAAAGCATTGGCGATAGGCAACACTAGGCAACTCTTTAGACTCATCACAGAATCGGGCGGGAGAAGGCAATTCATAAGTGAGACTATTTCTGAGAAAAATGGCTCCTTAATTAGCTCTCAGGATAGACGCCTTGAACGCTGGAAAGAACACTTTGAGGAACAATTTAACTTGCCTACAGCCACACTGAACCTCCCCGCCATCCACCACGTACCCGAATGGGATATAGACACTGGTCCGCCGTCTGTAGGTGAGGTTACAAAAGCTATCAGTAATTTGAAACGAGGCAAAGCGGCAGGACCCGACGGAATTATTCCGGAGGTGTTTAAATATGGGGGTGACATACTAGTTTGTAGATTAACTGAGGTACTAGGCAAAGTCTGGGAATCAGAGACAGTCCATCAGACTGGGGTAAGTCACTTATTATACCGATATTCAAGAAGGGAAACAAGTCCTCGTGTGATAATCATAGGGGGATCAGCCTAACGAACATAGTCTCTAAAATCCTAGGCTCAGTAATCATGCATAGACTAAGCAGAACTCGGGAGGAACAGACAAGGGAAAATCAAGCAGGCTTTAGACCAGGTAGAGGGTGCATAGATCATATCTTCACTCTTCGACAGATTCTAGAACATAGACACACTTTTCGGCGTCCAACAATTGTCATATTTCTTGACTTGAAGGCGGCCTTCGACTCCGTGGATCGAAAGGTACTATGGCAATGTCTGACTGTGAAGGGAGTGCCAAGAAAGTACATTGCACTAATCAAGGCACTCTATTCAAACTCACGTAGTCGTGTAAGGGCTTATGGGGAATTGTCATCTGAATTGGTAACAACCAGTGGTGTCCGACAGGGATGTCCACTTTCCCCATTTCTGTTTAACTTCATCATAGATATGCTAATGGAAGTATCCTTAACTGAACGTAGTGACTTAGGAATCGACTTGTTACCAGGGAATAATCTAATGGACTTAGAATATGCAGATGACATAGTCCTGTTAGGGGAGGATGCTGACAAAATGCAGAGTCTTCTGAACACCTTGAGCAGCAATCTTCGTATGTTTGGCATGCGATTCGCCCCTGCAAAATGTAAGATGCTGCTACAGGACTGGACCACGTCAACCCTAACTTAGTGATAGGGAGTGAAGTGATAGAACATGTTGACCACTTCACCTACTTGGGAAGTTGTATTAGCACCAACGGACTGATTGGCGATGAAATCTCAGCACGGATCCGAAAAGCTCGAGCTGCTTTCGCTGACTTACACCATCTCTGGCGTAGGCGTGACATCCGGTTATCAACCAAGGGACGTGTGTACTGCTCATCAGTTCGCTCCGTCCTTCTCTATGGCTCTGAAACATGGCCAATACGCGTTGAAGACATGAAAAGGTTGACTGCTTTCGATCATAGATGTCTGCGATCTCTGTCTCACGTTAGGTGGTTTCACAAGATAAGTAATGTTGACGTTAGGCGTAGAGTGTTGGGCAAAGAGGGAAAATCAATCGACGAGGCTATAAAGTTACATAGACTAAGATGGCTAGGTCACGTGCTGCGCATGCCTAACCACCGCCTCCCCCGACGGGCATTGCTAGCTGATATAGGTTCAGGTTGGAAAAGAGCCAGTGGTGGCCAAACAAAAACATGGCATCAATCCATGAAATCCTTGACAGTTAAACTGAGTCAGGTAGGGAGATGCAGACTCCCGGGTTGGGGCCCTCGGGACTCTAGGAATCAATGGCTGGAGACAATAGGTGACATGGCTCAAAATCGTTGTCAATGGCGCAGATGTATTCAGTCTCTGTAATCTTTCATATTCCTTTCTACCATTACCCATTCTGTTTCACTCTTATACTTGTCAAACTCTATTGATTCTCTTCACTCATCTTCTTGTCTACCTCTGTGTGCTATTTGGAACGTGGCAACTCGAACTGCTGCACTTCGGTGCCAAGTTCTATGTTGAATCCAGACAGAGACAGACAGACAATCAAGTGTCATATTTACAGAAAAAAAGCAATGAAAATAAAGTTTTTGAGTTACTGTTTGCTTAAGGATATCTCTAAGGTGTCAACGTGTACACATGTGTTTGATATCAGCTTTCGTATTGGAAAGAAATTAAAGTATATGACTGTTTTCTTCTAATTCATTTCTTAGGTCGAATAAACGTACACCGGTACAACGAACTCAGCTCTGTACAAGTGCACACAATCATCCAGTTAAGGCAGTTATGGTTGCTGGGGGATTAAATTCACACAATCTATTAAGTGTAAGTTCTGACGGTAAACTGTGCACATGGAGTTTGGATATGTTAAGTCAACCTCAACAATCAGTTGAATTAACACATAGGCAAGCACGTACTGTGGCTGCAACATGTATGTGTCTTGCAGATGGAAATAACAGTTTTCTAATTGGTGCAGAAGATGGGCGAGCTTACTGTGGTTTTCGTCATGGAAAGTAAGTTGAAACCTATTGTTGAATTTTTGTGTCTGGTGGTTTGTCCGAAATAACAACAATGTGATATACACATATATACACTGTAATATATTTGAATTCTTTGCACATGATTTGCATGATATGTTATCTACAATTCCCTTTTATTATAATTATTATTATTACTATTATTATTCTGTTAATCAATTTCAAACTGTTTATTAGTTGTATCACAACACACTGTTAGTATAAATTTGCAATGTTTAAGTACTCTGGATTTATCGGTTCATATTTGGTTATAAGCTATAGTCTGAAGCAAAAATGTATTTCTACTTAAGTGGTGATTGTCGTAGTATTCAAAGTCCTTTCTATGTACACTTTCGTCTCAAAATTTAGTAGTGGAAAAAGCCATGTATTTCACTACAGTGTTTTTATAACGTCACTTGCGTGTAATTCTCACTAGTATTTCCAGTAGTTTTGAAATACTGCAATTTTTCCATTCAAATTTTACTTTCTCATCCAGGTCTTGATCCTGTCTGTTTTTAGGCTTTCATTGTATTACGTGAAATAGTTCTATGCTCTTTTTTGTATTCATTATGTGAAGAGTTCAGTGAAGTCGACCATTTTACTTCACTACAAAGACTAAGTATATGTATTAATGATTATTACAGCTTGATTCCACACCGTATTTTTTGGTACAGGTATGAAATTTTCAGCATGTGATATTGGTAGCCCAAATTTTGCAGGCCGACCATGGATATCAGGTGTGCGTCAGTGGGGGCTCGAACGTCGGACCATGTGCATGGTCGGCGAGAATCCTAACCACTGTGCCACCGACGCATAAGCTTCAAGTTAAAGAAGAGTATGGGCCATGGGGTAAAATTTCATCCCATATTAGATCAAGTTGTCTGATGATAATACAGTGACCGACTAACTGGTTTTTACGTAGAACTTTACACAGAAGTGTAACAGTTCGCGTTGTCATTCTCCATGTAGCACACAAAACAAGAGAAGAGAGTGAAGAGAGATTCAAAAGAGAGACAATAGGTAGAAATGTGAGGGAGAAAGTACGGTAATCTGGGAAAACGATAGGATTTTTATTTGATATGCTATATCAAAGAGAGTGAATGCATCTTTGTCATGATTGAGAATGATTTTGAGTTATATCGTCAAATGTCTCGAGTCTTCATTGGTTCTTAGCATCCCGATGACTCCAATCCGCGAACCAGGCGGAAGTCTACACTTTCCTACGTGTTTGGGTTGAACTAACTCTTCTAGGTGTGATCAGATCGTCATCTAGTTCAAGGAACCTTCAAGGTGAAGTTGAAATCCTTCATAACAACTGGAGACAGGTCACTGTAATTGAAGTTCGACATTCAGAAACTGAAGGACAAAACTACAAGGGACACTTTCACTGCAGATCGGATGAGAGCAAAATCGGAGACACTACGTGGTATCACTGCGGAAACCTGTGTGTAAGAAGATTGAAACTCTGTGAAGGTGATGTCCAAGAAAATGTGCTTAACTGTTGTAGGAAGAAAGAAGAGACAAGACAAGAAATGACTCTGAACAGGTACTTGTAAGCGAGTGGAAGAGAAAAGGATAGTGAGAGAGAAGATGAACGAATCCAGAGAAGGAGAAGCTGAGTTCAGTGCACACTGTACTGAATACAGAAGTGAAGACGAGTGCTGGTAATGACAAAGAGGGTGTCTCGCTGACAGCGACCAATAAGGAGGATGGGAGTGAAGTGCCGTGCAATAGACACGTCGTTTGATCGATGAATAGCCAGCGGGATATGACGTCCAGTAGGACAGAGATGGGGGTAGGTTGTCGAATGCTGACGGAGCCTTCTGTATCGGTGTTGAGATTTCGTGAGGGATCGGTCGGGTTTGATGATGGAGGTCGCCAGGTTAAACAGTGTCTCTCCTTGTGTTTAAAGTTAGTGCTTACGAGAAACAAATGATTATCTGAACAGAACTGTAGGAGACGGTCACTGCTGTCGGTTCGCTGGCACAGGACTCCATAGGTGCCATTGACATCCTTCTCAGATTGACACAATTTCCCTACTTGAGCATTGATGTCACTAGCTAGAACGACTATATCTGAGCGTTTAGCCTTCCTCACCAAACTAGACAGCTTTTGGTAGAACTCATCCTTCGTTTCATCTGAACTGCAGTCAGTGGGGGCGTAGGCGGAGATTACGAAAAGGCATCGGCGAGTGGTGCAGTCCTTTCTCCTTCTTACTGATCCGTTCAGACGGACAGCACACATTCGGCTATCTACTGGGATCCAGTCAAGTAATGTCTTTTCTGCCCTAGTACTCAAAGCTATCCGTACGCCAGCTAATCCTCGTGAACTAGCTGTGGCATCTCCTGACACCCTCAAGGTGAATTTTGAAGATTCATCCTGTTGGCCAGGTGTAGTTAGGTGAATAACCACACTTGGGTCTTGTTTGCGTGTTTCTGAAACACAACATACATCAATGGCTCGGGATGCCAGGGTAAATGGTTGGGACATGTGTTGAAGTCGGCTGCTAAAAGGACTGTATCTCAGCGTCATCCGTTTCTCAGAAAACTAGACTTTTTGGTGGAACTCATCCTCTATCTCGTTCAAACTGCAGTCAGGCTAGCAAACAGTTAACAGTATGAGGTGCTTTTGGGATGACTTTCTTTTAAACCGCAAGCGGCTTTTCGTGACGTCTTGTATTCAAAGGCAATGTTGTTCTATAGTATTTTGGAGGGTTGGGTGTGTGTATGTAATAATAATAATCATAATAATAATAGCTTTATTCCAAACAGTATTTGTGGTACAGGTATGGAATTTTCAGCTTGCATTACAATATATTGCATCTAAATACCTCATAAATTTTATAAGATTTTAAAATCGAAAAGCAACACCCAAAAAAAGATAAATAAAAAGAAAACAGCGTTGCGTTTACATTTTAAACAATGCACCACAGGATATGAAGTATAAAATTAGTGTGTAATAGAAGATGTGAACAACAGTGTAATAGTAACGAGGAAAGGGAAACAAAAACTAATGGGACTATTTGTACGAGTGCTGCAGTAAGTTGATCGTGTCATACCTAACGGATTTCTCATCACATAACAGCTGTGCCAGATATGGTATTGTGGAGTTTTTGTATTTGGTAGTCCTAGCATATAGCCTCCTATAGCTGCTTCTAGTTCTACCAGATGAAATGCAAGGAGAGAGCTGCTTGTAGAGAGAATGCTCGGGGTCTGACAATACTGTATTTGCTAGTTTCTTACATGATATAATATGTCTGTCCACAATAGTGTTAACCAGTTGCCCTACTAACGGCTTTTAGTGCCCTTCTCAGCGAAGCAAAGTCTTTCTTAAGTAGTCCAGGAAAGATTAAAGGGGAGTAGTAAAGTGGGATGGGTAGAATACAAGAATTGACAAACTGAGAAAGCAAAGACTGCTTTATGCCAGACTGCCTAGAATTCTTAACATAGAACGTTAAGCGAAACATCTTTCTAGTAACTAGCATGATATTGGAGGACCAGGAAAGATCAGTGGAAAAACTCAGCCCTAGGTACTTGACATTAGATGTATTTTCAACCTCTATGCCGTCAATGATAGCGGGTCCATCTGAGCTAACTAGTTGTTGTAGGTCACGTTCACGTCTGAAAGCGAAATTGACTACCTGACATTTAGACGGATTCAGCTTAAGACCATTTGAAGAGGACCACTGACTGATTTCCGATAGAAAGTTATTTAAATTGGAACAATCTGACTAAGAGTTGACAGCCATAGAAACAGAGAGGTCATCAGCATACTTAACCAAAGTGGCTACATCAGAATCGGGCAAGTCATATAAGAAAAAAGAAAACAGAAAAGGAGAAAGGACAGCACTTTGAGGAACACCAGCTAAAGTGAGGTAGTGGAGTAGTAGTAGGTAGGTGAATAGCTAGCCTTGAGTCCAATTAAGTTTGATACTTCCCAGTGGTGGATTTATTATTTACAATCAAATATTGACAAGAGAGATTTCGGAATATTACATAAACAAGAACTGTAACTGCCATTGCGAATATCAATGCAATGTCTTCTTCCTTAGTCCAGCTGTAATTTAGTTTAGCTTTCTTTAGTATTATTGAATTGAATTTTTGATTTTCCCGTCGATTGATTGGACCGAAGTGCTCGGTCTCAGGTTGACATGTCGGCTTCTTGTGCAGATGCTTCGACGATGTCCGGGCATTTAGTTAGTATACTATTGGTGGCGTTTGAAACTATGGGTACTGGGTTCGAGCCTCGGTGGGAACATCATCACTCACTGAGAAATGCAGGTACATCCAACTGACGAGTCCCAAATAGGACGAAATGCGCTTTATCCTGGATTCCACTGCTAGCCACCATCCACCAATTCTTTAGTATTCTTGAAGTATTTACCATCGATTTGTGAACACTATCTGTACCGATATCGTAATTAGTTGATGTAACTAGTATCATTCCATTCTTGTGAATCAAGTAGCCGGTTGGTTGTGTCTTGTTCATACAACAAATTTAAACAGTCACAAACAATCTAAGTGGCGGAGATTTGTTGATTGTGCCTACATGATATGTTTTAGTTAGAAAAATATCTGACCTTTTTATCAAAACTCATTCAATTAATTTTAATAGATAAGTTGAGATCAATTTTTCATTTGAGGCAGGAGATCATCGAATCCCGGTTAAGCTTCACTGGCATATTGATTCAACTATTTACTTTTATTGAGTGTGGAACTCATAAACTGTTGATGCTGTTGTTCACCATATTTGATGAATACACAAAACAGAATTTATAGAACAACTCGTCATCTTGATGAACTATTTGCACAGTTTGAGTTCAAAATGACCGCACCGAATGGTGTTGAAAATCAGTTTGGATAATGTAAAATTTATTATTCCTTTCGCAGTCATTCTGGTATCGTTGAAACATATGAAGGTCACCGAGCCCCTATTTTTTCAATTTCTTCACATCCTGTGGGAGATTCTCGACTATTTTCTCAACTGTTTCTTACTGCATCGATGGACTGGACTGTCAAATTATGGGCGGTTAAAGATAATCTTCCTATCTGCTCATTCAATGAATTCTCAGACTATGTTTTTGACGCCCAGTGGTCACCTGTACATCCAGCTGTATTTGCTACTGTGGATTGTGAAGGAAGTCTTTGTTTATGGAATTTGAATAAAGATACTGAAGTAAGTTATTTGACTTTCTTTTTCCCCTTTTAAATTGTGTTTTTATCTTTGTGAATGTAACAGTTGAAAATTATTGTTTCATTGCAAGATATCTTCTGAATTGTTGTCAGTTTAATTTTAGTAAAGTGAATCAATATCATGAATCAGCAACTCTGATAAGTTCTCGACTAAGTTAATATGTGGTCAACAATAGCTAAATCGAATCACCTCTATAGAATTTTCGAAGGCTTATGAACGTGCAACAACTGAGGTAGCTGTGAAATGTGTTATGCCCCCTAATGTATCGCCCACTTAACATTATACGAAGCAGGACTAGATAGAGAAAGAAATCAGAGTAGTTTGAAAGTAATATTGCATTTATGGTAGGTTTTAAATCGTATAGGCTTTCCAGTTGAAATCATTGAGATAAGTGAAAAAGGCTAACTGTAGATCTTGAATAATACGCCTCAGAATCTTTTGCACTTTTCATACTAACAATTTCATTGTTTTTATATACTTTATCACTTTTACAACGTGTTATTCTCGTTTGCATACCTTTGTGTTTCTTCCTACCGATTTCCACTCTCAGTATTGAGATGAAGTAAGACAACATAAGCCGATAATCAATAATACGACACTGTGTCCCTTATTTCCATTGTTTTCTTTTCATCTGGACTGTTGTGTCTACTCAGTGCCGTTTTGCCGTACTCAGCAGCGTCTGGCGAATTGATTTAAAGTGCATGGTGATGAATATGAATGTTTAAAGGTTGACGGATATCTCGTTCAACAACTTCTAATTAATTTATTCTCGCGTACCAAAGACAAAGCAAAAGCCAATAATTGATCGTCCAAACCAAGAGATATATTTAGGAACCAAAACAAGCCGTTAGACGAACGCTTAGCTAGCTAGTGATCGTGCACGTGACACGACGGGGTACCAAATGGCGGGGATGATTGACCGGAAGCCTTCAGCTAAACAAGTCGACTTAAACAGTGGTGGTCAGCATCCAATGAGTGATTGCTGTGGTCAATAATTTTGGGGAATTATTTACCGCTACAGCTCACTCCCCCCTAATGGGGTCGTGAGGACCCTAAGACAGAACTAGCCGGAAGTAAAAAAACTCGATGGTTCCCTTTCGGGTGAAAAAAATCTTCTGAGCGGCTTGGTGGTATGCCTACTGGTTTGTCTGCCTATGCTAATAGGGTGTTTGTACATAGCTTCCTTGTTGTTCGTTGGATTCCGTGCTTCGTTTGTTTTCTGTCCAGTGCCCGTCGCACCTGGAAAAGAAAACAAGAACGCTAAGAACCATGTCGAGGAAAATGTACGAAATGAGCTTTTTGGTTAAAAAAAATTGTGTACATTTACTATCCAGTAAAATAATGCTAAGTTCAGAACATCGAAAAAAAATACATCTAATCAATTTTTTTGTGTATGTTACATGAACTGTTGAGAAAAAAATTTTTTGTGTTCGGTGGTACTGTATATAAAAAAAATTTATACGTCAAAAAAAATAGTTAGTACCACGAACGAGTGAGTTGCGTGAATCACACGACTTCGTTGAGTCAAATAAGTGTGCAGATATTCTGGGAACCTTACGGTGCGTCCAGAACGGTTTTTCTTAGGAGGCTCAACCTTAGTAGCCAGTGGGCGAATGCCCTTGCAGTCAATAGTGTGACCCAGAAAGTCGAGTGAGTCAACACCGATTTGACACTTTTGAATATTGATGGTAACACCATGTTGGCGTAACCTGTCAAATGCCAAGTCCAAGTGCCTAAGGTGAGTTTCCTTGTCTGGACTGGCAATGAGGCAGTCGTCTAAGTATACGTATACAAAGTCGAGACCGCGAAATACTTCGTCGATGAAGCGTTGGAATGTTTGGGCTGCATTCCGGAGACCGAATGGCATACGTAGAAATTCAAAAAGTCCGAAAGGCGTAATGATAGCCGTTTTCGGGATATCTTCTGTTGCCATCGGGATTTGGTTATACGCTTTAACCAAGTCGATTTTGGAGAATATAGTCGCGCCGGATAAGGTTGCCGTCAAGTCGTGTATATGAGGCAACGGGTAGCAATCAGGGGTTGTTTTGGCATTCACTCGCCGGTAATCACCGGTGGGTCGCCAATCATTGCTATCCTTTTTCGGAACCATATGAAGTGGGGATGCCCATGGGCTATTCGAAGGTCGAATGATGCCAAGGGTAAGCATATGGTCAAATTCATTCCTGGCGATTCTCAGTTTGTCAGGAGCTAATCGTCGTGCTTTAGATGTCACAGGTTGTCCTGTGGTAATGATGTGGTGCATAACATTGCTGGTTATGCACGGTAGGTCGTTCGACGGGCAATTAAGTTCCGGATACTTGTCAACAATAGGTTGAAAAGTTGGATCAAGGATTGCCTTTATCTTAACGGGTGACAGACTAGGGCCTATGTAGCTGATGCCTTTGATAGACAGACTAGTAGTATTGTCAATCAGTCGTTTTCGGCGGACGTCTACGAGTAAATCATGATGATTAAGTAGGTCCGTGCCAATGATGGGCATTGTAACGTCAGCGAGAAGGAAAATCCACCGAATAGGTTTGCGTAAACCTACGTTCAGATAGACGTATTTCCTACCAAAGGTTGCGATTGGTTTTCCATTTGCAGCCTGTAAGTTGAAGGTAGGTTCCTTCTGTCGATCTGCTGCTGTAGCAGGAAGGACGCTGACTTCGGCGCCTGTGT